CCCCAAAACCCCAAAACCCCAAAACCCCAAAACCCCATCTTTATTAAATTTTATTGAAATTCAAATATTCTTATACAGCTAAGCTAAGGGGCTGACTGGCCCAGATAAGGCTAGTTGGCAACCCATAGTAAAGATATAGGTTGCGGATCATTTAACGGAGCTGACGATCCTTCAAAATTTGAAGGTTAACTGGAACAACGAATAGATCGACGATGAGTTCAAGAAGGAAGAGGATAATATTAACTCTAAGAGAAAGGTGTTTGATAAGAGCCAAAATAAAATGATAGAAATTGATGCTACACAGAATAACAGAGAGTTTGACTTCTTTGAAGGTGCTGATGCTGGAGCTGGAGAACAATTCATGGCTATCAGATCTTACGAGGGAGCTATCGAAGATCCAGATGTGCACAATAATGTTAACCATGATGCTCCAGATGTTGAATATGAGCTTGAATAAGTCTATGGATACAGAGCTGAAGACATCAGAATGAACTGCTTCTATAAAGCTGATAAAATACTGTTTACTTCATTGCTGCTTTAGGTGTGATTCTTGATCAAGGATCCAACAAGCAGAAATTCTTCGGAAGTGGTCAAGTAGACAATACTTCCAAGAAGGTTGCTAGAGATGACTTTGGACATACAAATGATATCACTTCCATGGATGTCTCAAGTTGAAGAAAGCTTGCCACCACCAAACAGAACGGGTCTAAATCAGTTGTTTTAGTCTGGGACTCCTCCAGTGGAGAAAAGAAAGCTAGGTTCAAGCTTAAGAAGGGAGGAAGAGAGATCACAGCCATTGCTATCTGTCCACAAGGAAAAATGGTGGCCATGACTTACAACAGCAATGACCACAACTTGTCTGTTTATGACATTGCTACTGAGAAGAAGGTTGCTGGTGATAAGACCGGCCCAAACTTTATCTATCATATTTCTTGGTTCAAGAAAGAAGGTGAGGCAGTGATTGCTATTGCAGATTGCAAGCATATTGCTCACTGGGATCTTGACAACAAATTCAAAAAGAAGAAGGGAGTCCACGGTAGTGCTGGTAAACAAACCTTCCACTGTGCTGTCGCTTGGGACGACTAAGGTTTCTGCTACACTGGAGGTGCCAACTCCAGGATCTACCACTGGAAGTTCAAATCATGCTTCCAACTCCAGAAGACTTATGATGTCCACGGTAAAGGTTTCTGCTGCTCCATTAGATGGTGTGATGGAAAAAATATTTCAGGAGCTAAAGATGGAAACGTTGTCATCTCAAATCTAGAAACAGGAGAAGCTAAGAGAACAATTGATGTAGGATGCTTGATGAGATCTGTGTACATGGATGGATCAAACATCATTGCTGGGCTTAGAAAAGGAAACATCATCGAAATTAACTCTGGAGGTAAAATCACTGAGATCATGAACTCTCATAGTGATGGTGAAGCTTGGGGACTTGATATTGATTCTTCAGGTACCATAGTAACATCAGGAGATGACAATCATCTCTACTCTTGGAGCATCAAAGACAGAAAGAGCACTAGCCATGGCGAAATTTATGATGAATATGATGGACCTAAGAAGAATGGAGCTAGCTCATTGACTTCATACGCTGTAAGCAAGTGCACCAGAGCTGTTGCCATCAACTCTACAGGAAACGGAGATTTTGAGATGTTTAGATATTGTATGTAAACAAGTCTGTATTAATCATGTTTAAGTGTCCGGTGTTGTCTAGACAAATCTCGATACAATGAATGAATCTCCATAGCAATGATGGAACTCAATATAATTTTACTGGCTTCTGTTAGTCATTTTTGTATCTTAAAACATCTAAATAATCTTCATGGTCTCATATTCATCATTGAGAAATTCTAATTGTGCATAAAAACTGATGCCCGACTCACAATGATAAGACTATTTCTAGCTTATTTATTGAGTTCAGAAAGTTTGAGAACACCCAACTATGAAGACACTTTTTGGGTACCTAATTCAACCAAGATCTCTATCTCAAAATGATTTTCAGTTTTACTTTAGATTGGAGATAAAAATATGAAGAGCTTTAGATTCATTAATAATTGTTGTAAAAGTAGACAAGTTGCTGTAAGTCAAAATGATGGCAGAGTCATCATCTGAGACAAAGCTGGTGTTTTATAGACCATCCGCTACAGACTTTACGACAGTGATGAGTGGATTTAGGCTGTCGCTTACTCTCCATGCTAATGAAAGTTGGTTGTGGGATTACATGACGACAAAATCTATGTGTACAATGAGAATGACCTCAGGCTGATTGGAAAAGGAATTTCCCATAACTCGTTCATTGTTTTAGTTGACTGGAGTGAAGATCCATCATACATTCGTTCTGTATGCGGAGCTCATGAACTTCTCTTCTTTAAAGTCTCTGATGACAGTGTCGAATAAGACCAAAGTGGAGCCTCTAACACTAAAGGAATTAAATGGCACACAAGTCATGCTAAATACAGTTGGCTCGTAACTGAAATTGTCCCAGCTGGAACTGATGATACTCACATCAATGATGTTGATTTCTCCCACTGTGGTGGATTGATTGTCACTGGTGATGATTATGGATTAGTAAACGTGTAGAAAAATCCAGCACGTAAGGGAGCTAAGCCTATCTCTCTAAGAGGTCACTCTGAGCATGTTGTCAGAACAAGATTCACCCATGATGATTCCCACATCATTTTCATTGGTGGTTACGACAAAACTATTATGCAGTGGAAGAAGAAATAAGATTTCATGATGATAATAATAGTTCAACTAATTTTCCACATTTTGGGGTTTTGGGGTTTTGGGGTTTTGGGGTTTTGGGG